AATCATATTTGACTCAGATTCTATAGACACTTTTTGTTTTCCTTTGATCAGTGAAATGACCACTACTCTGGATAATGATTTAAAATAACTGCTCTAGTAAGTGCCAAGAGGTATTACATGATTACAAGTGACCTGCTTCCAGAAAGACTGATTGGACAATACGCTGACAGCTTACCTGTCTTTTAGGGCATTTTTCTGTAATCTGAAGGAATTTCCTCACACAGTGGTCCACAGCTTTCCAGCGCACATAATAGCCCCTGAAACATCCAAAGAAACTTTAATTTACACAGGACATTTTTACCCAGTACCCCCTGCCAGCTACATACATACATACATGTGGTGTGCATCACCTCCCCTGCACATGAGAGTAATTCTATTGCTGCTGCTTACTGTATAAATTTTGTTTATAGAGGAAACCATCACCACATACATCCAAGGTGCATGAAAGAAGAGAAAACAATATCTGACCTGTTGATAAGCGGCGCTCTCCTGGCCACTTTGCACACAAAGTGTTGAAGGAAGACGTCGTTGAAGTAGCCCTGTGCTGCAGCAGACACTTTGCTCACCACACTGCTGTCATTGGTTCCCTGCACCTGTTTTAAGGAACAACAAAGAACCAGCAGAAATAAATCTCCCAAAACACAGTGCAAGACTTTTTAAGACCTTTAATGATCTTCTTTCTTATCCTTCCATTGAAGGATGTCACATATACATACAAATGTTGCATATACTCATATCATCATTTTAAAGTATGCACATGTGCAATGAGACTACTGTTACAGGGGTGGATTCTCAAATTAAACATGGCCACAGATTCAAATAATGAGGTTAGCGCATGCATGAGAAGTCCCTAAAGTTTTAGGTAAATATGACTTATTTTTAACTGTGAATCATGCAAAGCTAGTCTAGGGTTCAAGAAACACACAGAGCTGTACTGTGATACATCTTATTCTATTACATATGTACTAGTAACCATCTGGCATGTAGTGCTGTAATAGGCAGAGACTGAGCTCATTTTTAATATCTTCTTACACATCTAATAATTTTTGAATACAACTGCAAGATTGTGGTTCAACCATCAGAAGAACAATATAATTGACATCGTATACTTCATAATATAGTAGAGCTAAAGTAAATAGTGGTGTGTTTACACATAATACTGTTAAGTACTGTGAATAGTGAAACAACACTTACGGCGGTGTCCCTCCCCTTCTTCTGCGCTTTTCTGTTTGTTGCTGGCATAGTGACGGCAAGTTATCGCATAACGTCACAATGAAACACCTCCACATTTCCCACAATGTCTTAAATAAAAACAGACCGACACATTTGTGTGCCTGCACAGCAATGCACCGGTGAAAACAAGTCAAACATCCTTCACGTGGTATTGACTTCCGAGATATTTCCCAGGATTTCTCCGGCGCCCCCTGCAGCCCGGAGGCTGCAACAGAAAACCACGCGGCTAATCACAGAAACTCCATTCAGACACCAACAGGAAATGTGTTGGTGTCTGTGCCTCGATTATTATGATTATCTGCTAGTTATTGAGCAACTTTTGTCGCCATTAAAACATTAAAATGTTTCTCAGGTCTTTGTCTGAATTTCTACCAACATTACTTGTCATGTTCTCATGTTATTGCTAAGGATTGTCTATTGCATTGGAGTCACACTGGGTTAAATATGTACACTTGGGTTTTAAGGGGTATTTATTATTTTCTTCTTTTTTTGGGGTTGTATGGAAGCCCCAAACGCAATTTCATTGTTCTTGACAATGACAATAAATAAATACTACTACTACTACTACTACTAAAATGTGACTAAAAGCTAAAAGCCTCGGGTTAATATTATCAATGACTGCCATATTTTTCTATTTTCAAAAAAGGATTTAAATCTTTGTCGAAAATAAAGGCAATAATTAAATTATACAATGCTTTGTGCATTCATACAATGATAAAAAGTTTAGTCTCTTTTTTTAAATGGACATTCCGGAATTCTATTGTTTGTGAAACCATTTACCAGGGTTTTTTTTAAAACTATGTATATATATTTAAATTTAAATATTAACTTTAGGTAACGCTCCTTAGAGGTTATCAAAAATAATAACCTTCAGAGGAGCTTCTAGAAGGTTGCCAATATATTACCCAAAGAATTCACTACAATAACCCCGTCTACGTTTCCTAGAATACCTTTTAAAGATCGGAAAAAATATAACCAGACGAGAAAGAACGTTTCCAGAGGGGGTGATGTGTTTTCTGAGAATGAATCATTTCTATGAATTTGTCATTCTTACTGTGCGCGGTATTTTGTTCGTCGAACTTGTGTTCTGTGACTCTTATAATTGATCTAAATTTGTATTTTTAAAAAGTGCCCTATAAAGACGAGTGAAAAAAAAATCAAAGGATATGCGGCTCTTCTTTTCTTCCCAGAATTGACAATGCGGCACTCAGTGCGCATGCGCCAATTTCCAGGAAGCGTTAACATTTTTTCTTTCACCAGCTGATAGCCAAATTGTCAACAGTTAAGTCAGCGCTACCCGCACGGCTGAAACGACACTATACACGGTAAATAGACTTATGTTTTCCTCTCAGTACCTCTGTGTTACTTATACGCTCGGCTGGAACGGCTGTGTTTCTTTGGGCGTCGAAATGCGAGGCTTTGTTTCAGTTTTGTGTCGTCCGAACCGAATGCTCGGATCGCTGTCCCGCTAGCACATAACCCGAGATAAGGGTTGCTGATCTGATAACAGTCATTGTGGGAGTTGCCTCAACACGAGTACGCCAGGATGTCATCCGTCTGCTCTCTTGTCCTGACGCGTGTCAGCGGGGTGCTGAGGTTAATGTTTCAAATGGAGAAAGTGCTGCAGTGCCGGGGGGAGGGGGGTTGTTAGCGTCGAGTGTCTGAGGTGGGAGAGAGCAATTAGAAGCGCAGCATCCCCAGTAAACTCCAGATCAAATGGGCCGCTATTCTCCCCACACATCTCTTATTCAGTGAACGCAGCAGCATGTGAAGGTTGGTACATATTGTGCAATGCAGTTAGGATTTAAACAGGTGCTGGATTGTATGCGAGACCTCCATCCCTCCTATGAGGCTTAAATCTTTAGAACTTATTTCTGGATCGGCTTGGATTTCCGTTTCATGAGGTAAGGCGTGATCACATTGAGAGGTAGTACACGTGAGACATTACAGTCGCAATTAAAACTTGTGCTTGATCGCATAGAAAACTTCTAATCTTTAGAAAGTATGGATCCGCCGGAAGAAGATTTGTTACCTTGAGGAAGAAGGATATGTGTGTGTATATAGGGCAGACAGTGTGTAATCTTGAACCGAAATAAAAGTCTTCTGGCTTTTTCACACAGACCAAACACGACTAGAACAGAGGTCAAGACGTCGTCAGTGAGACGTGACTCTCGGTCTGTTTTGGGAAGCAGCACAAGTGACCAAAAGCACCTGTCTCCACTGAGGGAGGAGGCCCAGCCCCCCTGCTGTCTCTGGTCAGTATGAGCTCCAGAGGGAGCGGAGGCCGCTCCAACGGCACACTAACGCAGACCAAGATTTGCCAGTTCAAGTTGGTGCTGCTGGGGGACATGGCTGTGGGCAAGTCCAGTCTGGTGCTGCGTTTTGTCAAAGGGCAGTTTGATGAGTTCCAAGAGACCACTATAGGAGGTAAGAACTAGGAGAACTCCTAATCAGGTGATTGATTGGAGGGGGGGGATTTAAGAACCCCATAATGATCTCTCATGCTTCTTTTTTATGTCCAGCTGCATTCCTGGCACAGTCGGTGTGTCTTGATGATACCACGGTGAAGTTTGAGATCTGGGACACTGCAGGACAGGAGCGATACCACAGCCTGGCTCCCATGTACTATCGTGGCGCTCAGGCTGCTATTGTTGTCTTTGACATCACCAAGCCGGTACGTAGAAATATTTCCTAATTTCAGTAGGTCTTGGCTGCACTGATATTTGTTCTAAAATGTCGGACTGCTGCCGACAGGTATTTTTCAACATTCACAATTCATTTACCTAAATCAATCATGTAAAGATTCTCACTGAAAGACAGTTGTAGAAACACATAAATGTCTCCGACAGCCTAATATCAGTATTAACCTGGAAACTCCTCGAGTTCTTTCCTTTCCTCTTTTTTTTTTGTCGTCCCACATTCTCTACATCATTAGACATGGATATATTTGGTATCATTGAAATTCAGGAAGTTAGGTGTGACTATGAAGGTAGAGTAGGCCATCTGATAACTGGAAGGATGGTGGTTCAATCTCCAGCTCCCATGATCCCAGAGCTAGAGTTGGAGGATAACTTCAGGTGAACTTCAGGGTTCACCTGAAGTTATCTTCTCTATGATCGTTGGATTTTTCTCTGTATCTATTATTCTAGGATCTACTGTACAATATAAAACGCCTCGAGGCGACTGTTGTTGTGATTTGGCGCTGTATAAATAAAATTGAATTGAATTGAACCCCTGGGTTTTGAATTATGAAGGTGGTACTGAGTTAAATCGCCATGGTAGCTTGTGCTTCACATCTGTATATTCAAGATAAGACATTTGGCAAATCCAAAACCACCACCTACTGATGAATGTCTCTGGGAAATAGTGTCACCATTCCTGGAAGAGCCCCTAAGCCCAGTGTGAAGCTTCAACAAGGAATAAAGATTCTTGAGCGCAATGTGAATGATAGAAACTTTGAACCTTGCATCCAGTTCGTGTACTGGCTGATGTTGAAACACAAATTTGCGTTTTGATCTACTTAATGGTTTACAACATGTTTTTATATTTGTCCTGTGTGACAGTGTAAATCCACCGTCTGGCTGGGCCTTTCTGTGTGGCGTTAGCAGCTTCTTCCCGTGTCTGTGTACTCACAGTTTGAGTCTGATCTTCTTGTGTTGTCATGATGGCCACTGATACTGTAAGGTCTATGAAATGACAGTCGAAATGTTTTGCCAGCTTTCCTTAATGGAGTTTTTATTTTTATGACCACTCAAATCATGTGTCACAACAAATATATTACATTCAACATGTATTATATGTTCGACCACTTCATATTTTTTATGTTTATTAAATTTGATTTTATGTATACAACACTCATTCACAATAACAGTGCACAAGGATGATAATATCCATTGAGCAAGTACTTGGTGACAGCGGGGAGGAAAAACTCAGTTTAAACAGGAACAGATCTCGTACTGAACCATGCTTTAGGCAGATGCCCATAGTTTCCTAACTGGTTCTGGTGGTGATGGGGAAACGGAAGGCAGAAAAAGAGAATATAGAGAGATGTTAAAATTTGCTCTTTTATTTGTAAAACATCTCCCGGGACCTGTCCATGTTGCAACTGGTTTGTGCTGTAAGCGACACACACCTCCTTCTTGGATGGACTAATCAGGCCGATGACCACCTTTGTGGGATTACTTAGCCTGACTGTCTGTGTTAGACTATGCAAATACAAGTAAAGAAAATCCTGGGCACTCTGAGCAGGAGAAGGAAAGTGCTGTAGAAATTCCACTTCCCAAGTAGGAATATCAGCTGTCTTTTATTTCAAATGTGTTTTCATAAGTGCAGCCCAAACACGCTGCTTTGAATCAGGTTTTGCAAACTTTTAATGGTTGTTATCTACAGTCATGCATATTTGTGTAAATAGTAGGGGTGGGGGAAAAAATCGATACTGTGTAGTATCGTGATATTTTGTTTGCTAATAATGTATCAATACAGGGACAGCAGAAATCGATATTTTGTTACAAAAAAAGCTTTTGTGCTCTGACTTCAGAACATGTTGATCCTTTTTCTGAGCAAGAACCCTGACATTCCTTCACTGTCCAAATGTGTTTAACTTTTTTTTAGCAATAAACATGACAGTTTACTTCTTTTAATTTAAGACATATTTTATTTTAATTAAGTTTAAAACTTTTTTATTTTATGTAAAATTATATTTTGTTTTAATTTACTTTCAAATTCTTCAGTTGCTGAAGGGGCTGCATAGTTTTCATAAATTGCATAGTTCAGAATAGCTATAATTGTACCAGATGGTTGCATTCAGTTAAGTTGGACTAGACTGTAATACAAACCGTTCAGTTTGTCAACAATAAAACTGACTGAAATGAGAGAAAGACTGAGTGTGAGACTTTGATATTAGATAAAATGAATATTGATAAAGTTTACCTTTATGTACAGAATCTGAATATCGCAAAATATTTTAAAAAATTGCAATAATATCGTATCGTGAGTTAAATATTGTGATAATATCGTATCGTGGGATGTATGGTGATTCCCACCTCTAGTAAATAGCAATTCAGAAATCTATCAAAGCATAAATGGAAAACATTTTTGATGTCACACATCTCCAATGTTAGCTGTGACTTTGGGTTCACCTAGTTCTTTTATTGAAATTAACTGATTCTGTACTTACCCATATTATAATCAAGACATTGATTTTTTTTTAAAATTATTTTTTAACACATACTGTG